CTACGCTAATAGTATTAAATTATGTTTCTATGTTAAGATCTTATGATAAATACAATTAGTATTCTGAAAACGATTCAAACGTGTCGCAGAATGTTGACATTAATCAACAAAATGTACTTCTTCTATAGACCTTAAAAATTAACAAGTAATATCAAATCGAAAATGTGAAAAAAAACGTACATTATTCTGATTCAAGTATTATATTATTAACTTTTTATTTATTAACACAAAAGTGAACAAATCGTATCGCATGAACAGGTAGCGCACAAAAATAACAATCGTAATGGTCACATGTAATATCTGAATGTACCTAATACCTATACAGTTTTAAAAACATAATACATTCAGTCTCTATAAATAGTATGTAATTATTTCTTCAGATGCGAACAGTACAGCGGCGTAAAACACACGATTTAACTACACACACTACACAAAATTGCATACACATAACCCCTTAATAAAAATATAAAATATTACTACATCTAATATTATAGACATTCAATCATCAAATGCGTAAGATTTAACTTTAGTACTTTCATTTGACTTTTTCACATCATACCAAATAATACCGGTGTCCACTAGAGTAAATACACCTGTATATTCATTACGTGTGGTATACTTARTAATATCTATTTATATATGAATAATTAAACGAAATCCGAAAAAAAAAAAACAAATGGCGCGAATGACCGTTTTGCTAATTGATAGGTTGACGAACATATGGCAATCATCACTGTGCCGTAAACCAAAACGAAAATGCGATTACTTAGTTCAAGCTTACACTACGGTCACAGATGTACGACTAGTATAAAATTTCAGCTTATAGTCAGATGCATCCTTGAAGTTGCCACTGAAATCAGAATTACCAAGTACCGGTTGTTGCCATGGTTATTAATTACCAGCGTAGCGGTAGATAGAACACCGTCTATATCATATTATTTATCATATTCGCACGGTGGTAACCACGAAATTTTCCGTCAACCAGTCTAAAGAAAACARWCATTATTCTGTGCAACGCATGACTTTCAACAAATAKAAATGAGTTTTCGAGACGAATTATAAACTCTGTTAAAATCTTATTCATACATAAGAATCATATTATCACTTATGTAAGTAAATTACCAATAGAAGACATTTCTAGAGAAAAATATCAAATTCAAATTCAAATATCAAAACTTTATTAATTAATAAGATGGTTTATAAAAAAGAAACCGCAATTATTTTAATGGTTATACTTTAAACAATAAATTCATAATATTTACTGTCTGAAAACAAATCTTACGGTATAAAGTTACTAATTGTTCTTTTTCTCAAATTAACTTCATCTTAATAAAGTATAATAATAATAACAATAACTTTCAGTTGTTTGCCTTATCATTAACTCAAAGTAATAAGGATATTTCCTTCATACTTTAATATTTATGATATAATTTTAAAATTTTAAAATTATATCATAATATTTACTGTCTGAAAACAAATCTTACGGTATAAAGTTACTAATTGTTCTTTTTCTCAAATTAACTTCATCTTAATAAAGTATAATAATAATAACAATAACTTTCAGTTGTTTGCCTTATCATTAACTCAAAGTAATAAGGATATTTCCTTCATACTTTAATATTTATGATATAATTTTAAAATTTTAAAATTAAAATTATATATATATATATATATACTTATATACATATATATCTACACTAAAATATTTTTGTACAAATTTTATATAAAACATACCTGAATATCAAATGGAGTCATAACATTTCCTTGAGAGTCAATAGTGCCTTGTTGTTGTTGAGCATTGTTGGCATGGTATGAATTAAGATCCATTTGATTGGGATCTMCTTGTACTTGGAATTGTTGGTGTAAAGGCATGGTCATTCCATGATGATGATGATTCATTAGTTGTCCTTGATGTAGTGCACCATGCAAACTGTCAATAACCACTACATTATTGGAACCAGCATTAGCTACTTGATTGCTTGAAACTGCATTCATTGCAGTTTTGTTTATATCTTCTTCACAGGGTGAAGCTTGACGACTAAAACATTATATTATATTTATAAAACTTTTATATAAATATTTATAGGTGTTCTCATATTCTTTTGAAATTTATCACAAATTAATATTTTTCAATAAAAAAAACTTATTATTTATAGGGAAATACARATTTAATAAATTATATTTTATGTAACTTAGAACTTAGAATGTGTTATCAGTTATAACTAAATGATATATCTTAATTTTTAAGAAGTATACATTTTAATTACATTAATTTATTTTAAATATCAATGCACATTTTACATTGAAACTTTTTTATCTAATAACAAATTTAGCTTAAAATTTTATATACCAGATRATTTACTTGACTTAAAACACTCATTATTTCAAAAACTATAAATGTTTTTAAAAATATTTTTGAAAAAAAATTATATTGTGAGAAGATGTCAGTGTATAATTTTTCTCTCTGAGCCGTGCATACCATAGAAAATTTATGTTTAGCAAGACCAACCAATGTTGTAACTCTATAATATTGGAATGAATTAACCAACGTCAAAATTTAAGCTAATAACATTACCTGTATCCCTATGTTAGATTTTTTACTATAATTTCACACTTAAAACATAAATTAAAATTAAAATAACATAAAATAGCCAACATGGAGACACAAGTAATGTTCTTAACTTAAGGTTTAATGATAGATGAATTCAMTATAACATTAAAAGTAATAATAAATAGGAGTTTCCGCTAAATATAAATTTGCTWTATTGCACATGGATTAAAGAGTAAATAAATAATGTACTGGCATTCTTTTAACAATCTTGAATGACAACATACATTTTGTATTTAAACATAATAAATGACTATTTTTTATATAAATAAAACAAACAAAATAGCAAGAGAAGAAAATACAATTGAATCATTAAATACTGAAAAATTACATAAAAATCTACCACAGAAAATAATAAAAATACAAGTTAAGAAATACATACAAAAATATGTTATAATATACTATACTCTATTTACAAAAAGAATATATAGAGTGAGGGATAAAAATATGTCCAGCTCATTMATTTATCCCCACTTTAGTTGCCTCTACTAATATCCTAACTTGCTCTTGTCCTACTTGTGACAATTTGTTGTATCAAGCAGTGGTGCACAATAACAAACAATCATTCCTGAAAGTAATGAATTGGAATATGGGGATATGGCAAAGCCTCTGTTCAGTTGTGATGCCAAAACCAGTATATACTTATTACAAATAGAGTATAAGAGGATTTCAGCAAACCACTTGTAACTCTTTGACCCATGTGCAACATTGAGAATTTACATTATAACCAATTTCAAGTTAACTTTAGTATTTAAGTGAATAGATCTATTATTAAACATAAACCTAAAAACAATATCCATGTTCTAATGTTGGCTTTAAGATGTTTCAATTTTTATGTAAGATGTTAGTGAGTTAATATTGTTACATTTAAAAAAATATATCTCATAAAGTAAAAGATCTAAATCATAAGTTTGATGATAGGTCAAATCACTTTAATACTAAAGCTAACTACACAAAGTTGGTTCTGCCTAATACAAATTGACTATGTTATCAGAGGATCAAAGATRAACAAACTAAACGCTGACATCCGCTGACAAAATATTTGGATCAAATACTCAAGTATAATATTTATTGTACAATTTGAAAGTATCAACATATCAACACAATAAAATAGTAAATTAAAGAACATATTTAAAAACTTAAAATACAACTTCTATAAGGATACAGGCACTCTAAATTCTTATTTTAAATTGTATAGAATAAACTAATAAAATTAGGGAATGTAAATTTAAAATTGCCATATACGAAAAGAAAATTGTGACTAATAAAATCAAATATGATAACTAAATAAATGTAATATGTCYAATAAATTTTAGTACATTTAGTAAATTTTTATAAAACACAATTATGATGAAATAACTTAAAAATAAATATATTAATAATTTTAAAAATATTAAAAAATATTAATATGAACAATATTGAGAAAATTAATTAAATAAATACTTTTTACTTACTGCTAATATAAATTTATAATTACATTTTGTCACATACTTAAACAATATTAAGAGGACGCTACACCCGCATGTATTGTCTCCGTCTTACAAGTGCGTAACATTGCAAAAACTGTTTCGC